GTAGACTAAGATTACTTACCCCCTACAAAAGCATCCATACTTTTATTAGACAACAACTGTGACACATGTTCATCTAAAGATTTCTTGTTTCTTGAGTCACTGGCATTCATCTCTACAAAGCTGTAACCAAGTTCTTTACAAACCAAAACAGCTGTAGTTGTTTTACCAACCCCTGGTGGTCCAGACAACAGTGCTGCTTTATGAACGGCACCATCTTGATCCTTTTGAAAGAAGGAAGCTAAAGATTGAAAATAACAACAAAGTTATTTGTTGCTTTTTCTATTGATAAAGATAACACATCGGAATGTTTGAAGAATTTTAAAACTCAAATTTTGAAACCCGAAAATTGCAAATCAAAGCGGTTGCTACGTGTGTGACTATTAATTTGATTGCACATGCAAGTTATACTGGACTTTCTTTCCCCGTGAGTCCTGGAGCGGGTCGAAAGGAGGCCAGGACTGGACTAATGATCTCTATACAAACTACGACCTAACCTCCTCCGCAGGCATCACTAAGAATCACTGGCTTCCTATCTCATCACTAGTCCCTAACGGCCATTATGACCGTTACAAAGGAAGCCCAAAGGAGAAAAAAAAAGAGTTGCCTGCGGAGGAGGCTAACTACGACCTATGTTATGGAGAGATTATTTACGTATACATGTACTGTTAGTTTGGGCTATAATGTATGTGGCCCTTTGGTGTGTAGCAAACAGTAAGGTTTGGTATGTACTTTTTAAGGCATTTTGTATAGTTTCCAGTGAAAGAAAAAAAATATTGATACAAATCTGACAAAAATGAAAACTCATAATCTTCTTGCAGTCAGGCTTGATGATTAAACATAAGACTTTATTTTAGTTGTCTCTGACTTGCTTTTAAGATCTTATAACAGATGTTAACACATCAGTAAGCTTCATTATAACTGATATAATGAGAGGTGTTTTAGCACCAAGCTCCTAATTATAAAATTACAGTTTCCCTTTTCCAGCTGAAATTATTTAGCAGAAAATGTTAAGTTAATAGTGACATAAAGCATACTTCAGACAATGCACACTCACTCTTTGGATGTGTTTTYTTCCTGTTTTTAGCCCAGTTTTTAATCCAGTTCATTAGTTTTCTCATGTTGCTTTTATCACCTTGCTGSCCAATGATTTGTTTGATGCCATGTGGTTTGTATTTATCAACCCACATCAAACTTTCCCCTGAAAACCAACATAAGTCTTAATTGATTAATGCTATTGGTCAAAAGTAACAACAGTAGAGCAGAGTCACTTGAACCATGAAATAGAAACTAAATACTTAGTAACTAATAGGCACTATTTAGACACTATCACTGAACCAGAACAGTACAAAGAGATTACTTTGATTGTTAAAGTGGTCTCTTGGGTATTGCTTATTGCATCAAATAAACTGTTCTGGTTCAGTGCTAATGACTATTAGGAACTAATAGTGCCTATTAGTTAGTACTTTTTAGGTTTTTATTTCATGGTTCATGTGACTCTGCTCTAGTTGAGTATTTATTAAGTAGATTGTATAATTTTGACTACAGTTGTCTAAAAATGCTTAACCTTTATAGAAAACTGTGTGTGATTGGTATGTTTAGACAACAGTTGTGCTAATGATCCATGATTGGTCAGTTTTAACAACGTTGTCTATTCCATTTTGTTTTGGCACTTTCCAGTTTCTTTTGGGGAATTGTTTTAATTGATTCACTTTGTAATGATTTAAGTGATTTGATGATTGGTTGATTCCCTGCTAACAGAGTCTCTCTTACTGTAGAGAACAGAACCTGTTAGTGTCTAAATTGAAAAGAATTATCAAAAGAACACACAATAATATTAATGAATGCCCAGTATGTGCTTCAGCTTACAAAAGAGAAAAAAAATACAAATTAAAGCAGTTTGCTGTCTACAGTTTACCCTACCTTTAGTCAATGGTGAACCTGAMGGGGTTTGTGTAGAAGGGGATGCTTGWGAATGTGAAGAGGTTTGAGAGTTCTGTGAATCTGTAACGCTTGACTGTGACATATCTATGGATGGCTTAAGTGGGAAAGGTTTTGGAGCTGGTGATTCAGTCTTTGATGTTTTTGACTTCTTAACAGAATGTTTTTCTGGTGTTTGATCATAAGAGCTTTTCTTTCCAGGGGTGTTTCTAATTAGGTCAAAAAAKCCATCTTCTTCAATGGTCTTGGTTCCCAGGGAATTTGCCTGAAATGGACAGTTATGTTTAGTTCTTTTAGAGCACAACTAAAGAATTTACATTGAAATAAGCTGACATGAGACTTAATTAGTAGCAACTGATGTCAATGGCAGGCAGATGACTTTTGAACTTTTTACAAGTATTCGYAACATAATGTGAGGCAGTAAAGATAAATGCAAAGGGTTTACATGTACAACAGTGCAACAAGATTATTAAGTTGACTGCACCTTGGACGTCTTTGATGCTCCAGGATCTCTCCCAATTATTAAGTAAGAGGTCTTTTTGCTGACAGCACTTGTAACTTTGCCACCATATCTTTGAATAATATCCTGTGCTTGTTCTCTTTCTATTGATTCTAAGACCCCAGTGATAACAAATGTCATCCCTTCAAAGCAGTTTTCTTGTCCCTAATGGAATC